TGGTTGTTGAACAACGTCACTCCTAACGTATGTGAGAAATCAATACAGCGGGTTTAAAGGTAGGTTTAGAAATAACAAAGCCTTGACGTGGTTATAATGAGCGGTTAGATAAATCCAACTGGCGTAGTTTGAGAGAATATGTTTAGTAAATTATTGTAGCTGCTCGAGAGAGAATTACGGCACCTAAAATGCTCATGATCAGTAGAGAATACATAGGCGAAGTTGTAGGGAACAAAGTAGGAAGGATTCCAACATTTGGAAAAATCATAACTCTAGACCTCCTAAATTTAATCTCCAACCCTTAGTATCTTTAGTTGTTAATTTACTGCTTTAGTTTCTTAGTTAATTAGTTAGATATAAGAATTTTATTTTTTATAACTTAGAAATTTATTCGAGCTTGTCTTCTTAGCGATATTGAACAATTATGGCAAAATCTTAGTTCTCTGTGAGATTCGACTCTGGACTCTTAGACCGGATTATATTTGCAGCGATCGCTTATCCTTTTTAGGACTAGAGTTGGGCGTGATCAATAATCTATATCAAAACATTTTTTTGGCAGGGGTGGCTGGGTGAAGGTTGCTAGCTATTCCTTGGTGTTAAGGAAAGTTACACTGCATACCAAGAATCTGAGTGACGGGAAATTAGGCCCAAATTGGGAAGGACCGTACGGAGTCAATGGTATAATCCGAAAAGGCTTATACCAGTTCGAGTCCGGGAACGATGTACAACTACCCAACAAATGGAATGTGGCACACTTAAAGCGGTACTACTGCTAAGGTATGAACACAATTTTCTTTGTAGTTTATTACGCTTTGAACTAACCCGTGCAGGTATTCAGTCGAGGTCAAATCTTAGGATTAGGTCTGAAAGTACGTCCTACACTCTTTTTTCCTTGGACCAATTTTTTTCGAAGTGGGTTTTACGGCAAGGTTTTTATTGAGGCAACACTAAAACGTGCTACCTTAAATTTGAAGACCGGCCTTAGGTTGGGGCTGCGGATCACCCGTATTGGACCAATAGTATTCGAGCCTTCACAAATTCTGTTTTGAATACTAGGGGGCCATCACACCTTAAGTCAAGGTCCCGAGTTCAGAAATTTAGAAGGCATATTGAAATCTAAGGCTTGAATATTAGACTTAATTATAAGGGTCAAGCGGTCGAACGAACCGTGGCCGTGTAGCTCATTCTGGCCATGACAGATAGATTTTATACCTTCGGTTATGTACACAACGTTCAAAGTAATAAAAGAAGTTTGCATTCTATGTTTCATCGGTTCATATTTGCACCAGTAATATTACCGTTTAGTTACTTAGAGTGAATATTGGGTTCAAAACTCTTAAGCCTACGGGCCTTCTCGGACCGGGGACTGCTACCCGATAATCAAATCGGGGAATTCGGACTACCAAATTTCGTAGGCACCGAGCCTACTAGGAATGGCTCAAACATGAAAGGTTACGACCAACTTAAACGGCTCGGAGATGTCTGAGCCCGTACATAAAAAGTAAGGTCCTTATACATTTTTTAAGTTATGAAAGATTACCTCAGACCCAGCCATGAAAAGAGCCATCTTCGGTAAAGAATAATCGTGTCCGGTTAAAACGTTCAAATATTCTAACAAAGGAAATACTGAAAAGTAGAAGTTTTGAACATAAGCAAATACTGAAAAGTAAAGGACACGATGTATAGTTGAAGAGAAAATTTTATACATACATGTACCAAAAGGTATTTATAAAAATAGAAATATATCATATTTTTTAAAATAGACTAATAATTAAAGATAAAAAACAGAATAGATGGATTTGTTAATGTGTAAGGGTAAAATCGAGGATAAAGTTACCCCCGATTTTCTGGTAAAGAAACGAGAGGAAAGCACGATCTGACATGACCCCGCGTAAAGCTGAGGGATTTCACGTCTCGGAGCCCGGGGAGGACGAATAGTTCTCCCAGGACCAGACACGACCGAGCATTGGACCTGAGAAGAGTGAAGAGCAGAGACTAAGGGAAAAGAAGGTTAGAAAAGATGACCGAGGGGCCGAAATATCCGCCCTCAACCGGATATTACGACGCGAATCTCACTCGATATCAACTGCATATCAATGTTTATCGGAAGGAGAAATTTTTTTAACTTATTTAGATTTTTTCCCCTTATTTAGACTTGTACTATGATTGAAACTCTCATACTATATAAAGGGGAGAACTTTTATATTTTAAGGACCACTGTTAGCACACATATCAAAGAAATAAAGTTCAATTTTATTCTTTAGCTATTGTTCAAAGTGTTCTTCTGTTACTTGCTTATTGAGTTGTAATCGAGCCCGTTCCGAGAGCTAGATCAGAACTGATTTTCAAACCTCCATTGCGAAACTAGACTTAATCAGCAATTGCATTTGGTTTGATCGCTCAGATTTCCTTTAGTTCAATTATTTATTGTTCATAGTTCATTCGTGTTAAATTAAATCACATATCCTTTAAATCGCGTATAAATTCAATTGTAAATAGTTAATAAGAAAGACTAAATAGATACTCTCTCCGGTCCACTTTAATTAAAATTTTGGCCTTTTTTGGTGGTCCACAATATATGATTTTTTCAGATATCAAGAAGGAATTAACTTGTCTTTGGAGTAAAGAACCTCGAAGTATCTGTTGTAATTTCAGTGAATAAATTAAAAATACAGTAAAAATTAATATAGTCAATTTTATTGTTAATTAATTAATATTAAAAAAATAAATTTCTTAATATGCGTAAAAACAAAAAAAAAATTAATTAAAATGCATCGAAGGAGTAGCGGTAATCAAGAAATAATTAGGATTGGAACTTGTAATTCTGTGGTTGCACTTTTAGCCGAATCCGTGCTAATCTATCTAGTTACGGAGTAACATGCTGCGAAAATTGACGGCGAACTTCTGCTGGACTCCCACAGCTTGTCTANATATATATATATATATATATATATAATCCTTGTATAATATGTGTATAACACTTATCATTAATGTATAATTTATGTATACATTTAGTTGGTGGGATAACCGGGAGAAACTCATCCGAAACTAGAGCTAGAAACACTTTATTTCGTTTCGTTCCCGTTCTTCATTTCCTTCTTCTCGAATCCAAAGGGGACTTCTCATATTTAGAATCTTTCTGCGGTGTGCTCCGTTTACTATTCTTTCGTACTTTCTTCTTTTTACCTGTGATGGTCGGATTTTTCCTCCTCATCCCTTTTTAATCCAAGAGATTAAGGGTGTGTTTGGTATGGCGGACAATTTTTCAGAAATTATTTTTTCATTTTTCACTGTTTGATTGCACAAAATAATTTGGAAAATATTTTCCTAGATATCACATTTTTCTGAAATTGAAGGAAAATTACTTCCCTAGAAGAAAAAGTTAGAAAAATATTTTTCAAAAACTCCACCTAGCTTCACATCTAACCCCCAATCCCCTCCAATTTCAATTTTCTGTTTTTTTTTTTCATTTTTCTACGCTCCCCCCCCCCCCCCAAAAAAACACACACACACACACACTTTGTTTTTTGTATTTTTAGTTTTTTGTTTTTTCCTTTTTCCGCAATTTATTTTTTTGTTGCTTTCTTTTGTTTGTATTTTCTGTTTTCTATTTTTTCGCTTTTCTGCACATCCCCTCCGCCTAACCCCCCCTCGCAATTCTTTTTTAAAATATATTTTCAGTTCTGAAATTTTTATTTTTCAGTTTAAAGGTTCAAAATTTTACGAGTTCCAAAGTTATGAGTTCAAAGGTTTATGTGTTTGGAAGTTTGCGGGTTTAGAAATTATAGAGTTTACGGATTCGAAAGTTTAGCGGTTCAGAAGTTTATAAAATTTGTGGGTTCAGAAGTTTGTTGGTTCGAAAGTTTATGGCTTCATGTTTATTGTATCTAAATTATAATTTATGAATACTCGTGAAAAGTTATTTTCCTTAATTTGCGTACCAAACACCCGAAAATGAGTAAAATTACTAATTATTTTCCAAAAAAATATTTTCACGAAAAATATTTTTCACGGAAAACATTTTTCGTTATACCAAACACACCCTAAATAACAAAAGTCCCACTTTCTGAGTTTCGGGATGTGTTCTTTTCTTAACCACATCTTCATCTCTTAAATCAAACAGCTATAAGCCTATAACAATTTCAATAAGGCATAAGAGTATAATATACTAATGAAGCTGCCGATTTTTGAGTTCAGTTTGTCATTAGTTAATCTTTCCATAACCACATCAACACTCCTTCAACCAAACAGCTAGCTTTAAAATGATTATATATAATAAACCATATATATACAAAAATATAATGAAGGTTCCACATTTTGAGTTTTCGATCGGGCGATGTGTTCTTTTCCTAACCACACCATCACCCCTTAAGTCAAACATTTTAAAGTAAAGCATTTAATAATACATCACAGTCACATACTCGAACGCATGCTCAAAATATTTGTCCTTTGAAGACGTTTATTACTACCCTTTTTTGTTTTAAATTTACCTTTGCTACTTCATGGTGTTAATCTAGTGAGACGTTTAAAAGAAAGATAAATGATAATTTTTACAAAAAACTCGTATTTAAGATCAAGACTTAATTACGTGATAAAGAAAGAGAAGAAAAGGAAAGAAAGAAATAAACACGAAAAGGTGTTGCTTATAACTCCCACCCATCTTTTCTTGCATCTTCTTTCGCTTTAGACCGAAAATAACCTTTCAATGCTCAAGTTGGACAGATTTGGTTGTGGAGAAAAAAACTAGATGAATTCATTCCATATAGAGTATAAGTATTCCACTCGAAATATAATTGTAAGATCGTAGTAGCTTCAAAAAGCATTATTTGTAAATCTATATTTTTCATTTTGTTTTTCTTTAGTATTTTGAAGATTCTACAGAAAAAACAAATGGGAACTACTTTATGAGAAAAATGGCCAAGTGTATTTTTCCGAAGTGGAATATTCATTATAAAAAGGAACCAATGAGAGCTTCTCGCATATTCCGAGCTCAAATTCCCCTTTGGCTATATATCCTCTCTCTCCCTGTCAATTCCAAGACCTTTTTTTTTTAAAGAAAAAACGGAAACTTGTTGACTTTCTCTAAACTGACCACAGCTATTACCAGCCAAACTCTCTTTGTCTCTGACGCAGAAGCAGAAAGAGTTAGTGAATTAAGATTAAGAGTCACAAGAAGCTTGACACAAGAGTAGGGAAGGAGTTTGATATTCAGAATTTCATGTTATGGGAAATAACAATAATCACAAATATTATCCTCAACTTCTTCTTCTTCCTCCTCAGCCAATTATAAAGCCTTCAAAATTCAAGCGCATATGTGTTTTCTGCGGCAGCAGCCCTGGCAACAAACCTACTTACCAACTTGCTGCTATTCAACTTGGCAACCAACTGGTATATATTATCACTTCCACTCTATCCTTTTTCTTTCTGCTTTAAAGGTGACGTACTTGATAATGTAAAATATTCTTTACATTGACTTGACTGTATATATTAATAATTTTTTAAATATTCCCATGACGTATTGTCAGAAAAGAATTAACAATATATGAAGTGGTATTACGTAATTCTGAGTTATATTTAATCCATCTGAATTCTGAGACTTCGAGTGCATGGGAGGACAAATATTTCTATAATGGAACAAGAGACGAGTTTTGTAATTCGTGTAGTAACCTTATGTACACAGCGTAATTCGGCATACGTACTGTACGTGTTGTTTTATGAACTGTACCATTGAGTATGAAGAGATTCGCGAGGTAACACAAGAAAACATAATCCAAAACAAAAGGACCAGTAAATATGTTTAGATCAAGATTCATTTGGGATCACAAATAGTGCCATTCCATTTTTTTTCTTTATCTTTTTTTGTTGGATTAAGTACGGTGGATAAATTAGCTGTTACAAGATTATCACAATTAGTGGTTATATGTAAGATTAGCGTGCAGTTTTGTTCGTACATACTAATACAAGTAATCATTTTTTGGTAAATTTTATTTTTCCTGAAATAAAATGACAGGTTGAAAGGAACATTGACTTGGTGTATGGAGGTGGGAGTGTTGGCTTGATGGGTTTGATTGCTAAAGCTGTTTTTAATGGTGGCCGCCACGTGTTAGGGTACCAAATTTCTCTTTTTAAGCTGCTATTATTTATTGTATATTAGACCTTTTTTTCTTGCAACTGTTTATAGTACTAATATTGCTGTTTGTTTTTTTTCTCTTGGCACTTGGCAGTGTGATTCCTAAATGTCTCATGCCCAGAGAGGTATCTGCTTTTGTAATTATGATTAGATAATTCTTATTTAAAATATCTCTCTCCGTATATATATTTTATTTATCAAACGTTCCCTCCATTCTCTTTTACTAGTTTAGTATATTAAAATATAATTTTTTACTTGTCCAGCTTAGCAAATGAAAAGAATAGATTATTTTCTTCCATTGTTACCTTTATTGTTAACTACTCATACTTCCAATTATTGCTTTTTGGTAGAATTTTAATTACTACTAATAAAGGTCATTAAGTCAATACCGGACTGGTAAAAGAGAAGGGAGGAAGTATCCGGCTTCTCGTCCTTCAAAATAAGAGATTTTAAGTTAGGAATTGACTTTTCTAAGTGTGTTTAACACTATCATTTTTTACAGATTACTGGAGAGAAAATTGGAGAGGTGAGGGCTGTATCTAGTATGCACCAAAGAAAGGCTGAAATGGCTAGGCAAGCTGATGCATTCATAGCTTTGCCAGGTAACACTATTGAAAAAGAGTATACATATATGTATATATTGCATGATGACAATTGAAGCTGACTTAATGTCCAGATTAAACTATACCGTAAAAAATATTTACATTGTTGTACATATAATCTGATATTGTGTTGTACATATAATCTGATATTGTGTTGTACATATAATTACTGAAATATATCCGCACAAAAATGCTCCACTTTGTACTATGGATCTGAATTAGAAAATAATTACAAAATAAAACAATGATCGGATCTTTTACAACTAGTTGCTTTCGCAGCAATCAATTTCTTAAGTGGACAACCCCAATGTTAACTACTCAAAAACTGCCTTGTCAGTTACAGTGATTAATTAACTTCTTCAAGTTATAAGTTTGCTAATTGGGGAACAACTAATTAATTCTAATCTCCTTATTTCTTTTTGTGATTGCAGGTGGCTATGGAACATTAGAGGAACTCTTAGAGGTCATCACTTGGGCACAGTTGGGCATTCATGATAAGCCAGTACAATCTTTAATCATACACTTATCCTTTTCTTTTTTCTTCAATTGAATAATAATGTGACATTAAAATCGTGCAACTCATATAATTTATAGTCGTATTAATATTTATGACTTATCTTAGATCATAAAGTCTTTTTTTCTTTTTAATACTGTGCTAGTCGAACTTGATTTTTATTACGCCACAATAAAAGTTGAAGCTAGCTGCTTCTAAAAGGAGTATTAATCTGAGCAAAATGCAAACTTAGAGTCTAGAGTCAAACTTCTAAAAGGAATAACAATCTAAAATGAGTGTAATTAATATTATTACAGTACATGTTTTTTTTTTTTTTTTTTTTTTTGTGATATGTACATAGGAAGCGAAAAGCAATGTGAAATTCAGTTGATTCAAGGGGTGTCAATTTGAGCCAAACCCATTTGACTCACCCAACACGCTCACCGTTTGTTGAATTCAGTACACCTTGACTCAACACATCTCAGTCAATTTAAAGTTGGGTTGGTTTTTTGCCAAATTGGATCTATGAGTAATTTTACTAAAATATCTTTAAAATAATTCTTTTATTATTTGATATGTTATATATGACTAGTGATGGCAAAATGGATAAAAGACAACAGTTATCCACCCATACTATCCACTAAAATATGAGTTGGATAATGAACTATTTAAAAACGGATCAAATATGGATAAGAACCATATTATCCATTTAGAAAATAGATAACCAATGGATAACTAATGGGTTTAACTTTTACATTTGTAAAGCCTCAAATAGGGGGTTCCTCAAATTTGGGAGGTTAGGAATTTTTTCAAAAGTGATCATATTCATATTATCCGCTGGTTAACCCGTTTTTTATCCGTGTTAAATATGAGTCGGGTCGGATAGTTTATCTGTTTCCGACTCGTACCATATCCGATCCGACCCGCCTGTTTGTCACCCCTATATGACCATAACAAAAGAAAAAAGTCTTAATTGATAATTAAACAATTCATTAGAAAATAATACACATTAATTAAAACTTGATAAGGGTTGGACGGATTGGGTTATGACCCTAATATTAATTCATCTTGACCCAACTCATTTCAACCCAAATAACTTTTAAGCGGATCAATAATAACAAGCTCATTTATTGACTCAACTCATTTTGACCGCCGAAAATCAGCCCAACCCGGCCATTTGATATTATAATTGCGCGCTAATGGGAAGTTATTGGTTATACTACGTGCAGGTAGGTCTGCTAAATGTGGAAGGCTACTACAACTCTTTGTTGTGTTTCATAGACAAAGCAGTAGAAGAAGGTTTCATCACGCCCTCTGCCCATCACATTATTGTTTCTGCCCCCACTGCTCGCGAACTCATGTCCAAACTTGAGGTACTTCACCTTCCTCCAAATCATCATCATTTGAATTCTATATTTTTTTTATACAGAGCATAAATTCATGCACAAAATTTAAATAAAATTACTATACAAATAGTAACTATAAACTCAAAACCTTAAAAATATATAATTTCGATAAAAAAAAAATTAAAATTAAACCCACAAAATTTAAATTCTAAATTCGACTTTTTCTTTTTATATATATACATCTAATAATACAGTAGATCGGTTTCTCATCAATAATTACACACACATGCCCCACTTTTCATTAACACATTAGCAAGATAGAGTTTCTTTACTGTTACTTTTTGACATGAAGGCGAATGTTTCATGTGCATGAATTTTCAAAATACACTATAAATAAAGTATAAAAAAAAGAACTACACGTATTGATTTATAATTATATATTAACCTTTTATATTTGTAACCGAGTTCACGTAATATATTAATAACTAAAAAGAAGTTTAAAATTTGTATATATATAGTATTGCGCTTTGTTAACATGTTGGATGAATTAATTATATATGTAGGATTATGTTCCAAAGCATAATGGAATCGCACCAAAACCGAGTTGGGAGATGGAGCAACAACTTGGCTACACAACAACAATACCGAAAATTGCTCGTTGACACTTAGGACCCGTTTGGCATGAGTTTTGTCAAAATAAATTTGGAATTTATTTGGCAAACACATGTTTGGCCATAAATTTTACTCACATTTTGGCAAAATCCCAAATCCCAAATCCCAAAATCACCAATTTTTGGGCCAAAACATGATTGTTACATTTTTAAATTTTTTTAAATATTACCCCAAACTTTTATAATTTATAAAAGAGCCCACATTTATTATGACCAACTAAATATTTGATGAATATGCTCCCTTATCAGCTCAATCCTTTGTGTATCTTACTTTTGCTTCTGATTTGTAGGCTAAATGGCTTTCTGAACACTCATATCAGTTAACTTTTTCTTCTTAATTAGGAGCCGTAATTTTCTAATGGGATTTCACTGTAATTAATGATTTATATAGTTCATTATAAAAATAATAATTTTGTACCAAACTTATTTAAGTTCAGGGTTATGGTTTGTGATAATGATATTATTGGGTATTTGTGATAGTTTTTAGAACTTGTGGGTATGAGTAATGTTTCGTGTTTTTTCAAATAAAAAGTGAAATATGTTTTGAAAAATCATGTCCAAACACATTTTCATCTTCAAACCAAACTTCACCTAAATCAGATTTTTCAAAACAAATTTGGGAATCTATGGTCAAACGCTAGCTTAATTTGTCACTTTTTCTGTTTTGCTCATTAGGGCTAACAAAACTTGATTAAAGTGCAGTAAGTTGATTTTTAAGAAGTAATAGTTGTGTCTGTATCTGAATGTCTTCCAAGTAAATTCCATTAAGCATCTAGAACTGATGTAATTTGTATAATGTATATAAAGTGTGCTCCTTCTTGTAAGTAGAGTCAAGTTAATAAACTTTTGGAGAAAAAGCAAGGTTACTCGCATTAATCACTTTTGTTGTCTCCATATTAGCCTTTTAAATATAATTTATTCTCTAGTTATCATTACGAATGTTTTCTTAAAAATTCTCTTTGGTTGAAAGATATGCCGAGGCTAAAGGCACCGCAAAATGGCTAGAAAGGGAAAGAAGTAAGAGGAAAGATTAACTGTAGTTAACGATATGCACAATCTGTATCTTGATCAGCTGGAATTTAAGATAGATTATTAATTAAAGAAGTTATTTAGTGCAGGATGTGGATTATTATTTGTTGGTAAAAATACAATTAATTACAGTTGAAAAATAAGATTGAGAAAAATAAATAAATATTCTTCTGGTTGAGGCACAGATAATTCGCTATTTAAGGAGATTCAAGTTCACTGTGATAGTATCTTCACTGATCCAGCAGTAATACTCTTGACTGTTAGGACCGAAATAATTAAGTGTCATGCGGGAGAGGGTAAAACAAACTTTGAACGACGATAAATCAGAAAGTAAAAGAGAAATCTAACAAAAGAGACACAAACATTTAACGTGGTTCGGTCAATTGACCTACGTCCACGGCGGAGATGAGCAATCCACTATATTAAAAGAGAGTACAAAATATCGAGAGAACAACCTCACGAAGAGGCAAATACAAGTGACACACTAACACTTGTCCCGTAAAGTTCAACCTCTAAACACGACTCTCAAACCCCATATGGCTACATTGTGGATGCTAATGAATGAAAAGGAAGGATCCTCAATTTATAGAGGTCTAAAACCTTTCCCTACAAGAAAAAGAAAAAGGACTAGCCAATATGGAAGATTTATAATTTCCTTCTACGAGAAGGAAAACCCAATTATGGTAAATATGTTGCCCTTTCCTTCAAGAGATAGAAAAATCAAATATGGTAATAAATTAGGACAACACCTAACATTGACTTATCCCCTCCATGATACAACAGCCCGACAACGTCGTATGACTCCAACAAACTCTGGACAAGTTGTTCAGTCCAAAGTTCCATCAAAATGAACACCTTCCTTCAACAAAATATTATTCTTTTTTGTAGAGAATAAGTTGGAGATTTAAATTTTCTCCTTCTCTTAACTCTCTTTTTTTCACTATACTAATTTCACTTTTTTCATGCACACTGCAATATTTTTTCATCTACAACACAAGGAAGAAATATCACTATTTATAGGTGTAAAATTTCTTCCATAAAAGTGTCACTACCCGGAATTCCCATCGTCGGGACCGTGATGACGCCTAACATTCCACTTGCTAGGCAAGCCGACGTTAGAGAATTATTAAGCCAATCCTTATTCAATTCAGTAAATAACAACAAATAAGCTAAAATGAAATATAGCGAGTGCGGAATAATATAAAAACTTCATTAATTACTACCACCCGGATCTGGAGTCACAATTCACGAACTTCTAGAATTTACTACAAGTAAAAGTCTGAAAGAAATACAACTGTTTGAACGAAAGAAACAGTAAAAGAAAAGAACTGAAAAGATAGACGGGGATTTCAAGGTCTGCGAACGCCAACAGATCTACCTTGAGTCTCCGATAAACCAGTCCGAGCTGCTATGCCTCTCGAGCAACTGGGACCAATACCAAAATCTGCACAGAAAGTGCATAGTGCAGTATCAGTACAACCGACCCCATGTACTGGTAAGTGTCGAGCCTAACCTCGACGAAATAGTGACGAGGCTATGACAAGATACCTACATAACAAACCTGTGCAATATGTACAAATAATAGCTAAACATGTACTATTGGGAGGGGAAACATGCTGAGGGGAATAAATGGTAACTTGAACAGCCAATATACTATGAACCAATAAGAACAAGTAAACACAGTAAAGGAAAAATGCACGGCATCACCCTTCGTGTTTTTACTCTCAACCTCACCATAAAATCAATAGAAACGGCATGATATCACCCTTCGTGTATTAACTCTCATAACATGGCAAGGCATCACCCTTCGTGCATTAACACTCACAATATGGCACGGCATCACCCTTCGTGCATTAACACTCATAATATGGCACGGCATCACCCTTCGTGCATTAACTCTCTCCCTTACCATAATGCAATGAACAAATAACAACAGGGAGATAGAATAACAAGTACAAGCCTTACTTCAACATTTGGTTCCACAATATCAACCTCAACTTCAGAATCAATACTCAATTATCACCAGAAGATCCGTAAATATGATAAGAACGATCAATTTAACAATACTAGTCTAAACATGGATAACATGAACAAAGGAAGTTATAATTGCAAGAAACCAAGCCCCGCCCGCATACTTTAACTCGACTACAACGCATAAGTACTCGTCACCTCACATATACGTTGTTCCCCAACATTTAAACATATAGTAAATAGACAAACAAGTCATATTCCCTCAAGTCAAGTTTAACCATAACACTTACCTCTCCAAAGGCTAGTCAATGCTCAATTACTATTTTTCCTCTAGAATCCATCTCCAAACTACTCGTATCTATTCACAAATGACTCAATAATATCAAATATTGCTAAAAAAATCAATTACAATGCATAAATTTAGATTCCCCAAACTTTTACCCAAAAAGTCAAAAATTGACCTTGGGTCTGCTTGGTCAAAATTCGAGGTTCGGATCAAAATCCATTCATCCATTCACCCTCGAGCCCGATTATGTAATTAGTTTCAGAATCTTATCCCAAATTGAGGTCTAAATCCCTAATTTGCAAAAACCCTCAATTCTTCCTAGATCCCTAGTTTTCTACCGTAAAAAAAAAAGATTAGGGCTAGAAATTTAATGGGTGATGATAGAAATGGAAGAAAATGAGTTAAAGAGTACAAACCTATGAATTAATGTTGAGTTTTCTCTTCAAAATTGCACCTAGGCTGAGCTCTAATGGAGAGTTTATGAAAAATGGGTAAATTTCCGTTTTGGTTCTATTTTAAGGTCTGGGCGTCAGGCCTTTTTCGCGTTCGCGAAGGGTCTGCCGGTTCGCGATGAGCAGCAGCCCGAGTGGATTTCGTGTTCGCGAAGGCTGCTCCCCCCTGGCCTTCGCGTTCATGAGCCCATGCTCGTGTTCGCGTAGAAGAATGAATGACCCATCTCCCAGGTCACTAAAGCTCCGCGCTCGCGAAGGGTAAAGCCCACATTGCTTCACGTTCGCAACCCAGCTACCGCGTTCGCGATAAAGAAAATCACCCTGCCCCAGTTTACTCTTCGCGTTCGCGAGAGTACCTTCGCGAACGCGAAGAAGAACACATCAGATAACAATTGAAGCACAAAAAAACCAGATCTCTAAGTGCAAAAAGCTTCTGTAGCCTATCTGAAACTCACCCGAGTCCTCGGGGCTCCAAACCAATTATGCACACAAGTCCAAAAACCTCACACAAACTCGCTCGCTCGAACAAAACACCAAAATAACGCCTAGAACTACGAATCGGACACCAAATCAAATGAAATGTTCAAGAAAACTTTAAAACTTCTATTTTCACAACCGAACATCCGAATCACGTCAAATCAACTCCGTTTCTCACCAAATTTCACAGACAAGTCATAAATATAATAATGGACATGTACCAGGCTCCGGAACCAAAATATGGAACCGGTATCGACAAGACCAAACATCAGTAAATTCTAAAAATTATTAAACTTTCAAACTTTTAATTTTTTATCAAAATTCCATATCTCGAGTTAGGGACCTCGGAATTCGATATCGGGCATACGCTCAGGTCCCAAATTACGGTACGGACCTACCGGGACCGTCAAAATATAGATCCGGGTCTGTTTGCTTAAAACGTTGACCGAAGTCAACTTAAATAAATTTCTAAGGCAAAATTCTTATTTTTATTAGTTTTTAACATATAAGCCTTCCGGAAGAATACCCGAACTGCGCACGCAAATCGAAAAAGGTTAAAATAAGATTTTTGAGACCTCGAAATACAGAATCAGGTTCTAAAATATAAGATGACCTATCGGGTCATCACAAGAAGAAATAACAAAGTAGTGGGATAATAAATTGTAGAACATGGTTGGTTGTTATAAAATTTAATCTTTAGTTGGTAGTTAGTGGTAGATCATGGCATTAATAGTTTCAAGAGTTACATCTAAATAATGATCACTTTCTTGTCAATTTATAACCATTATCTCACAAGAAATAATGCAATTTAATATTATAATTTTAATATTAAAATGCACCAACACCAACATTTTCCCACTTATTTTAATATTA